ACCCATGCATGAGCATGGGATGTGTTTCCCTTTATTTGTGTTGTCTATGATTTCTTTCAGCAGTGTTTTGTAGTTTTCCTTGTAGAGGTCGTTCACCTCCTTGGTTAGGTATACTACTAAGTATTTTGTTTTATTTTACTTTATTTTATGTTATTTTGTTTGCAGCTATGGTAAAAGGGGTTGAGTTATTGATTTGATTCTCAGCTTAGTCTATTTTGGTGTATAGAAAAGCTACTGATTTGTGTATATTAATTTTGTGTCTGGATACTTTGCTGAATTCTTTCATCAGTTCTAGCTTTCTGGAGGAGTCTCTAGAGTTTTATCGGTAAACAATTATATCATCAGCAAACAGTGACAGTTTGTCTTCCTCTTTGCTCATTTGGATGCCTTTTATTTCTTTCTCTTGTCTGATTGCTCTAGCTGGGACTTTCAGTACGACGTTGAAGAGGAGTGGTGACAGTGGGCATCTTTGTCTTGTTTCAATTCTCAGAAGGAATTCTTTCAACTTTCCCCCATGCAGTATTATGTTGGCTGTGGATTTGTTACACATGGTTTTTATTACATTGAGGTATGTCCCTTATATGCCAATTTTGCTGAAAGTTTTAATCATAAAGTGATGTTGGGTTTTGTCAAGTGCTTTTTCTGCATCTATTGAGATGATCATGTGATTTTTGTTTTTAATTCTGTTTATGTGGTGTATCACATGCATTGACTTGTGTATGTTAAATCATTCCTGCATCCCTGGTTTGAAACTCACTTAATTATGGTGGATTATCTTTTTGAAATGTTGTTGGATTTGGTTAGCTAGTATTGTGTTAATGATTTTAACATCTATGTTCATCAGGGATATTGGTCTGTAGTTTTCTTTTTTTGGTTATGTCCTTTCCTTGTTTTGGTATTAGGGTGATATAGGCTTCATATTAATAGAATGATTTAGGGAGGATTCCCTCTTTCTGTATCTTGTGGAATAGTGTCAATAGATAGTACCAATTCTTCTTTGAATGCCTGATGTAATTCAGCTGTGAATCCAACAGGTCCTAGACTTTTTTGTTGTTGTTGGCAATTTTTTAGAAAATCACCATTTCAATCTTGCTGCTTGTTATTGGTCTGTTCAGAATTTCTATTTCTTCCTGGTTGAATCTTGGAGGGTTGTATATTTCCAGGAATGTATCCATCTCCTCTAAGTTTTCTAGTTTATGCATTTAAAGGTGTTCATAGTAGCCTTGCATGATCTTTTGTATTTCTGTGGTATCGGTTGTAATATCTCCTGTTTCATTTCCAACTGAGCTTATTGGATCTTTCCTCTTCTTTTCTTGGTTAATCTCACTACTGGTCTGTCAATTTTATTTATATTTTTAAATAAGCAGCTTCTTGTTTCATTTATTTTTTTGTAATTTTTTTTTTGTTTCAATTTTATTTAGTTCTGCTCTGATTTTTGTTATTTCTTTTCTTCTGCTGGGGTTGGATTTGGTTTGTTCTTGTTTCTCCAGTTCTTCAAGGTGTAACCTTAGATTGTCTATTTGTGCTCTTTCAGACTTTTTGATGTAGGTATTTAAGGCTATGAACTTTCCTCTTAGCACCACCTTTGCTGTATCTCAGAGGTTTTGATAGGTTGTGTCACTATTATTCAATTCAAAGAATTTTTAAATTTCCATCTTGATTTTATTGTTGACCGAGTGATCATTCAGGAGCAGATTATTTAATTTCCATGTATTTCCATGGTTTTGAGGGTTCCTTCTGGAGTTGATTTCCAATTTTATTACACTGTGGCCTGAGAGAGTACCTGATATAATTTCAATTTTCTTAAATATATTGAGACTTGTTTTATCTCAATTATTATATGGTCTATCTTGGAGAATGTTCCATGCACTGATAAATAGAGTGTATATTCTGCAGTGGTTGGGTAGAATGTTCTGTAAATTTCTGTTAGTCCATTTGTTGTATAGTTCAAATCCACTGCGTCTTTATTGACTTTCTGTCTTGATCACCTGTCTAGTGCTGTCAGTGGCATATTGAAGTCTCCCACTATTACTGTGTTGCTGCCTATCTCATTTCTTAGGTCTAATAGTAGTTGTTTTATAAATTTGGGAGCCCCACTTTTAGGTGCATGTATATATTTAGGATTGTGATATTTTCCTGTTGGACTAGTCCTTTTGTCATTATATAATGCCCCTCTTTGTCTTTTTAATTGCTATTGCTTTAAAGTTTGTTTTGTCTGATATAAGAATAGCTACTCTTGCTTGCTTTTGGTGTCCACTTGCATAGAATATCTTTTTCCACCCCTTTACCTTAAGTTTATGGGAGTCCTTATGCATTAGGTGAGTCTCTTGAAGACAGCGCATACTTAGTTGGTGAATTCTTATCCATTCTGTGATTTCGTGTCTTTTAACTGGAGCATTTATGTCATTCACATTCAATGTTCATTTTGAGATGTGAGGTACTTTTCTTTTCATCATGCTATTTCTTGCCTGAATACTTTGTTTGTTTGTTTTTTTAACTGTTTTTGTTTTATAGGTCCTGTGAGATTTATGTTTATGGAGGTTATATTTTGGTGTATTTTAAGGATTTGTTTCAAGATTTAGAGCTCCTTTTAGCAGTTCTTGTAGTGCTGGCTGGCTTGGTAGTGGCAAATTCTCTCAGAAATTGTTTGTCTGAAAAAGACTGTGTTTCTCCTTCCTTTATGAGGCTTAGTTTAACTAGATACAGAATTCTTGACTGATTATTGTTTTGTTTAAGGAGGCTGAAGATGGGGCTCCAATCCCTTCTAGCTTATAGGGTTTCTTCTCAGAAACCCCCGTACATATTGGTCTTAAGCCTTTCCCTTGTGAGGGTATTTTCCAGATTCTGTTTGCATGCTTTATTATTTTTTGTTCTTTTATCTTTTGTCTCCTCTGACTGTATTTTTAAGTAGCCTGTCCTCAAACTCACTAATTTGTTCTTCTTCTTGATCTATTCTGCTATTAATAAACTCATGCATTCTTCATTATGCCAATTGCACTTTTCAGCTCAAGAATTTATGCTTCTTTTTAGTTATTTTGATCTCTTTGTTAAATTTTTCTGATATAATTTTGAATTTCTTCTCTGTGTTATCTTGAATTTCTTTGAGTTTACTCAACACAGCTATTTTGAATTCTCTGTCTGAAAGGTCACATATCTCTGTTTCTCCAGGATTGGTCCCTGGTGCCTTATTTAGTTCACTTGGTGACATCATGTTTTCCTGGATGGTACTGATACTAGTAGATATTCTTCAGTGTCTGGGCATTGAAGAGTTAGGTATTTATTGTAGTCTTTACTGTCTGGGCTTATTTGTAGCTGTCCAGAATTCTTGGCAAGGCTTTCCAGATATTTGAAAGAACTTGGGTGTTATGACCTAAGGTGTTTCTGCTATAGGGAGCACCCCAAGCCCAGTAACTCTGTATTGCTTGCAGACTCATAGAGGTACCAACTTGATGGTATTGGACAAGATCCGAGAGAATTCTCTGGATTACCAGGCAAAAACTCTTGTTCTCTTTCCTTGCTTTCTCCCAAGCATACAGTCTCTCTCTGTTCCCACCTAAAACTGGGAATGGAGTGACACAAGCACCCCTGTGGCCACCACCACTATGATTGCCCTGAGTCACATGTGAAGACAGCACACTGCTAGGTCTTGCACGGGCCTGCTGTAACCACTCCCTGGCTACTGCCTGTGTTCACTCAAGGCCCCACAATCGGCAGGTGGCAAGGCCAGCCAAGAATGGTCAAGGAAAGGAGTTTTAAATGAGGTGGATACAGTAAATCTTGATGACATAGATTATTCAGGCAGAAATATGATGTTTCATCAAGCAGATGGAACTTATCAAGAAGAAAATGCATAACTCTACTTCCTCTACTTCTTTCCAATCTTGGAAATTATGAAGGATTAAATAACTTAATGTTGTGAAATGAGCATGAGGAAGAGAGATGGAAATTTTACCCTTAGTTCTGCCATGAACTAGTGATGTGAACTTGCTTTGCTTATATGTAAAGTGAGGAAATTGAACCAGTTGATTTTTAAATTACTTCTAGTTATAAGACTAATGCTATTTTAATGAAGGGCATCATAATTTTTAATAATAATTCTCTATACCAGATAATAGTCTATTACATTTCTAGAATGTAAAACTTGGGCCACTTGAGCTGAAATCTTATGATCATGTCCACATAATGGATTTCAATCTCAGCACCTATTTTTTAGTAGTTTAAGAAGATGTTATTAAATCTAAAAGTCTTGGGTTTGTCATTTTGTTATTTTTTAGCTGGTGTTTTGTTTCATTTTAGTAATATGGAGTTATTTTTCTTTTTTCTTTTTACCTTTACCAACTGTCAATTTAAAATTTACTAAATTGACTAACCTTTTTGAATAACAGTGAGTCTTTTTTTCTTTTTTCTTTTTTCTTTTGAAATGGAGTCTTGCTCTGTCACCCATCCTGGAGTGCAGTGGCATGATCTCAACTCACCACCACCTCTGCCTCCTGGGCTCAAGTGATCCTCCCACCTCAGTCTCCTGAGTAGCTGAGGTGCCACCACCATGCCTGGCTAATTTTTGTATTTTTGATAGAGATGGGGTTTCACCATGTTGCCCAGGCTGGCCTTGAGCTCCTGAGCTCAAGCAATCAACCTGCCTCAGCCTCCTAACATGCTGGGATTACAGGCATGAGCCACCACGCCCCACCAAGAGTTTTGATCATTACGTCCATGCTCTACAGGCATGAGCCACCATGCCCCACCAAGAATTTTGATAATTACGTCCATGCTGTACAGAGCACAAACATGCTCGTGCTTTTGTTCTGATGCTCATGTGCCCTTTGTCACTATCTGTATTGCCAGTCTCATGTATGTATGAGAAGGAACAGAGAATGCCTTGCCACAGTGTATGGTTACCCAGCAAATAGACCACTAACACTCAATGTGGATAATAATATTAAAGCAATTAGCTATTTTTTACAATTCTCTATTTCATCTATTTTCTGTTTCTTTTCCAGGATATCCATAAAAATTCATCAGACAGTGTTTTACTACTGAGCTACAAAGGTAGGAAAAATAATTTTTTTTTTGGTTTGAAAATATACTTCTTTCATCTGTGTTTCAATAATTTATTCCCCTTGTTAGATATACGTAGAATTGATGTTGCTTATTCTGACTAAGTGAAAAGTGTTATTTCTATGTACTGCTCAATTAGAAACATGTAGTGTTCAATTGTCAGTTTGAATTTTCCTTTCATACTATTACAGTTTATATCTTACTCTAGACAGAATTTACTCTTTCTCCTAAATTTTGATATTATCTTCTCCATAATTTCATCATGCCTTGACATTACTATATATAATTTCCATACATCAGGAAGGCAATTCTCTGTGTGTGAGTGTGTGTGTGTATGGTTAGAAGTTAGAAACTGAAACTCTTTTTGTCTAGCATCATGTCATATTTTTCTTGCTATTTCAAACCTATAATTTGTAAAGAAACAACTAAAGTAATCATTCATATAATTAGCTGTCAGTGACTTGATAATATAAATGTTAACATGGAGGCATTTAGTTCAGCATTTGCTTTACTTAATAGAGTGCAGAAAATGTGGCCCTTTTCTCAGTTAGGGTGTATGTGAAGATAAATTTAGAATTTCTAGACTAGTAAATACTTCTCTGATAATAACTTAATTATAGCTATTTCAAACCAAATTGTTTAATTGTGGTGAATCATATGCAAATTTTTCAGATGTAGGTCAACACCCATGCCCACATTCTAGCACCTCTTTCCTAATTCAAGACAACTTTGCAGTGCCTAAAAGAGCTGAGCAGTACAGATTAGAGACATAAGACCAAAAAAAAAAAAAAAAAACCAAACCCAACAATGGTAACATAAAAACCAACCAGGAGTCAGAAAGTCTCTGTAATAATGAATAGGCAGGTTGTATTTATTTAAGACTTTGCTTGATTATTTCTTAGGCTTTACATGTTTGTAGATAACAATTTCCTCACTGCTCATGAGATTTGTGGCTAGCAAACTCATGGTGCTTCTAGGATATTAAGTTTTCTCCTCTGTAAAGTACATGCAATAGCATCATTATTGTCTACTCATTAAAGTGATATAAGAATTAAACAAATCAAGGACTGTAAAATGAATGTGTGACTCCTCAAATCCCATATGGGAAGAACATGCTGTATTTCTTGATTTGGTTGAGTCAAAGATCACTGATGGCTATAATGCCTTGTGTAGCTCCAGGTGAGGACAACTGAGATACAGTGCAATTGCAGAAAGTAAATAAACTTTTTATTTTTCAAGCTGTTACATTATAGTTCCAATCTATGAATGCCTTTGTGATGCAGCATTGTATCATTTTCTGATGAATGGCTAAGGTTTTATGATTCTATTTTATCTTTATATATTGTCTGCTGTACTTTCAAATATTTTATTTCCATTTATAGATGTGTTGAAAAATCATAGCACATTGCATAAATGTGTTACATTTGTTTTTGCTTATTTATTTATTTATTTATTTATTTATTTATTTGAGACAGAGTCTTGCTCTGTCACCCAGGCTGGAGTGCAGTGACGCAGTCTCGGCTCACTGTTACCTCTGTCTCCCAGGTTTGAGCAATTCTTCTGCCTCAGCCTCACTAGTAACTGGGATTATAGGCGCCCGCCACCATGTCTGGCTAATTGTTGTATTTTTAGTAGAGACGGGGTTTCACCATGTTGGCCAAGCTGATCTTGAACTCCTTACCTCTTGATTCGCCTACCGCAGCCTCCCAAAGTGCTGGGATTACAGGCGTGAGCCACCATGCCAAGCCTGTTGTTGCTTATCTTTAGGTGATTATTGCTGATGTTTTTGGTATATTGACAGAAAATAGTTTTGGTGCTTGTTGATGAAAGCTACTTTCTGACTTTAATGATAATAAAATTATAATTTTGCCTTAATATAAACATAATTTTTATTGTCACTTATGGGAATTTGTTCAAGGATTTGAACTTATATCTGCATATAATTTTTGATTTTTGACATTTTCTAAAAATTAATTATTGAAAAAAGTGGCAATTGTTTAATTCTCAGAGTGGGTAAAATAAATGGTGTATCCTTTGTGCTTCTTTCAATATGAGTATCTTTGTTGTTTTAATTATTTAAGATAAAAAATAAGGAATTATACTAAACATAGAATGGTATATCCCTCAAAGTTAGCTACTGCAAAAGTTTTCATGTTATTCTTTCAAGTTCTTTATTTATATACAGAAACATCAATATCAATATGAGCATATAATGTTTTCATATCATATGCATGATCCTGTGGAATTTTTTTTTGGTTTTTACCATTTTAATTATGGGCATTCTTCTAAGACTATATATGTTCTCTATTTCATCCTTTGTAATGTTTGCACATTAGTCAATATTTTGGATGTATCATGATTTATTTAATAGGTCCTCTAAGCTTTTGTTTAAAAAATAGAACTTTAAAGTAGGCTAAAAAGAGGCCTCTCTTAATTACATGTTTGGCAGGAATACAAAAGAATAATTCCCGCTTGTATATTGAATCAAGAAATTAAGGAGTAAAGAAAAAGTGTTACAGTAAAGAGTCATTGAAAATAGTATTGAATAAGTGTGTATTAGTGGGCAGGGTAAAGAAAAGCTAATAATGTAGATGTTCATGCAAGTGTGTTGTAGGTGTGTAAAATGGAACGGCTACCAATTTCTTCAGAGTTTATTTCAAGTGGCACCTCCTTCCATAGGCACTCAGGGACTTTTCCCTTCATTCCCACTCTCACCAGTTGTCTTACATCTCTATAAAAATTCGGGGAAAAATAGACCTTTTCATATTATGTCCCATGTACAAATTCATTTTGTATGAATCTTTTTTTTTCCTTCACTAGGCTGTTAACCCCCAGAGGATAATGACTGTATGTTATTCATCTTTGAACCTAATAGATGCAGAAAAAATATTCATTCAATTAAATTGGAACAAAGTGTAAGAAAAGAAAGGAATTGTCAGGGCGCACTGGCTTACACCTGTAATCCTCGTACTTTGGGAAACACGGGTGCATCACCTGAGGTCAGGAGTTTGAGACCAGCCTGGCCAACATGATGAAACCCTCTCTCTACTGCAAATACAAAAAATTAGTCAGGATTGGCAGCTCACATCTGTAATACCAGCTACTTGGGAGGCTGAGGCAGGAGAATCACTTGAACCCGGGAGGTGGAGGTTGCAGTAGGTCGAGATCACACCACTGCACTCTAGCCTGGGCATAGAGCAGGACTCTGTTTCAAAAAAAGAAAAGTAATCAAGTAGAACTGTTCAATCTTTCACAGATTTTATAAGATGCCACTGTATGCCTTGCTATTATGTCTGGATTAAATTATAATCAGCTCTCCTGATGGATGAGACACAAGTAATATAAACACATGGGTTTGATATACAGTGGAGATTATTTTAAATTGAATTTTAATGATTCTTTGTGGCATTTATGTTCAAAAATCATACCTACAAGTCAAGCATTTCAGAAAAAATGTTTACAAATTTTTGAAAAAGTTATTTGTATGATGCTGAACTTGGATATGTGTTACTGCGTATAAATATGAAAACATTGTGTCAGCTTCAAAGCATTGTGCACAGGGAATACATTATTGCTATTGTTAGTACCGTAATAAAATTGCCTCTGTGGATTAAAAATGTAGATGTTTATGTACAAAATAGCAGCAATAAGTAAAAGACGACATTATTTATGTGGATTCTATCAGATTAAAAGTGAGTACTGTTTTCAGTACTTTGTGTATTGCAAATTGCTACTCATGCCATTTAAATCTCTGACATTGTCTTACCATTTGAATCATGCTTGAAAGCACCTGTTTCCACCTTAGTGTGAATTCACTGGTAAAATAAATTTTAGAAAAACCACAGTGAACAGATGTAACAATTGCAATTTCATTTAAAGAAAAATTAGAAAATAGTGGGAGTAAAATATCCCTTTGAAACAGAATGTAATACCAAGTGAGTTATTTTTCTTACCTCACTTGCAAAAGTCACTAGCTCCAACTCTGACTTCACATGCCTTTTACTGAGCAGGTCAATAAGTCATTGGGAAGAAAGCAAGTGTCTTGGTCAGTCTTTTCTAATTTATTATTATTATTTTTTAGCCTGTTGCTGAACTTTTAAAACCCAGAGCCTGAAACTTACTGTTTCAAATGCATATCTTAGCAATGCCTTTAAAAAAAAAAAAAAAAAAAAAAAAAAAAAGAGCTCTGATCTCCTCATTGTTGTCTATTTTGCTAGGGATACAAATGCAAGTACCTCTAGCCCCTATGGCATGCAAAAAAATGAGTGTAACAACAAATATCAGATAATAGAAAATGGTGGGTACTGAGGAATGAGTGATCATATGGTTAACATCTGTGCTATAAGGGCTACTTCTAGAATACTAGAATGAATATTCTAGTCAACTCTTCTGATAAATTGTGTGTTCCAGTGGCTACCACTTCTGAAGATTTAGGAAGTTGAGTATTGGAATTTTTTGTATAATATCATGGTTTTGAATGTTGGCTCAAAGCAAGAAAGGAAGAAAAGAAGGAAAGGAAGAAAGAAAGGAAGAAAGCAAGGAACAGAAGGAAGGAAGGAAGGAAGGAAGGAAGGAAGGAAGGAAGGAAGGAAGGAAGGAAGGGAGGGAGGGAGGGAGGGAGGGAAGGAAAGGAAGGAAGGAGGGAAGGAGGGAGGGAGGGAATGAAGGAAGGAAGGAAGGAAGGAAGGAAGGAAAGAAGGAATGAAGAAAGGAAGGAAGGAAAGAAGGAAGGAAGAAAGGAAGGAAGGAAGGAAAGAAGGAATGAAGAAAGGAAGGAAGGAAAGAAGGAAGGAAGAAAGGAAGGAAGGAAGAAAGGAAGGAAGGAAAGAAGAAAGGAAGGAGGGAAGGAGGGAGGGAAGGAAGGAAAGAAGGAAGGAAAGAAGAAAGGAAGGAGGGAAGGAGGGAGGGAAGGAAGGAAAGAAGGAAGGAAGGAAGAAAGGAAGGAGGGAAGGAGGGAGGGAAGGAAGGAAAGAAGGAAGGAAGGAAGGAGG